CAAACTAAGCGACAACCTTCGTCTTGTTTGTCGCGTTTCCCAAACTTTTGTCATCCTTTCAATAAATATGGTTTCTTGAGTGACGAGATGTAATACGCGAATACACATTAAATTGCTATATGTGTTGTAGTAATTACTTATTACTTTCATGAAGAATGGATATATTAAAAAACTGAATTTTGCATTATTGGTTCTACCTAATCGCTTGCGTCCCTAGGGGCGACAACACTATTTGGAAAACGCTGGTGTAAATGATAAGATTTAGCAAAAGTAATCTTACAGCATTAGATTCTATCAACACGCTACGTCGTACAATTTTAACTCTTATAATTCCGAAAATAAAGCCAAAACAGCTATAAAAAATTTTTAACAATTGGAAGCGCTGATTTTGCCAGGTAAATTTGCTTGGTACCTGTGTTTGAACGATGTGGCCGACGTTACGAGAGTTACAACACTTAAATACCGTATTTTTCGGAATATCAGACGCACCGGTGTATAAGACGCACCCTTATTTTGAAGACAAAGTTTTGGGGGGGAAAAAAGCTACAGTTGCATTTGAAAGATTTTTATTGAACAAAAATTCAATTTGATACTTTAAAAATTAGTATACATTGTTCTAAACACAAAAGAGCTCAAAACATCAAAATAAGAGAATACAGTAAATCAATAAAAGGTTTATTGTTATTTAGTTTGGTTTAAAACCTACAAAATCTTCATTGCTTTCACTGTGATTTATTTTTTTATTATTTAGGGAGCATTATAAATAGTTATGTTTTGAAAAGGAAAAAAAGCTACTATTGTTATAAATAACACATTCAATTAAACTAAACTATGCATGCCTATTTAAATATATTTACACGTGGCTTGTGTATATCGTATATATACATATATATTATTCATACCTTCGGCAATCTGAGGGTCGCGGGTTCGAATCCCCGTCCCACCAAACATGCTCACCCTTTCAGCCGTGTGGGTGTTATAATGTGACAATCAATCCCACTATTCGTTGATAAAAGAGTAGCCCAAGAGTTGGCGGTGGGTGGTGATGACTAGCTGCCTTCCCTCTAGTCTTACACTGCTAAATTAGGGGACGACTAGCGCAGATAGCCCTCGTGTAGCTTTGCGCGAAATTCAAAAACAAACAACATACCTTCGGTGTATAGGACGCAAGCAGATTTCGCCATCAAATTTTGGGGTAAAAAAGTGCGTCTTATACACCGAAAAATACGGTAGGTGTCAATTCACAACATGTTTGAGGTCAAATAATATAGACACCAATAACAATGATCGACCAACAGTATTCTTCGTCATATAGAATATCAATATCATTACATATTTCACTTCTTATCACCTAGCGCAGCTGTGATAATTTTAAAACTGGATTACTCTTACTTGTGACATTAAATAACACAAAAATACCAAAACTTAATATAATGTTATATTTTTGAGATCATATTTCCCTGTTTTATATCTAGCTCTCCAGAATTGCTAAGTAATACAACAGGAAAGTAAGTAACAAGTTAATCCGAAAGTCATACGTATAATTTATTCTCTAAAACTAGTCAAAGCAAATATATATAAATATAACCAAAAATTAAATTCCTAAAATGTTACCATTCTTTTAATCAGTGCTAAGTAAGTTAAAGCAGAAAATAGTAAATCGCCTAAATTAAAAATCTATGTGCCCCCAGTGATTCAGTGATAAGTCTGCGAATTTATATTGCTAAAATCCGGGTTTCGATACCCGTGGTGGGCTCAGCACAGACAGCCCATTGTGTAGCTTTGTGCTTAACTGCAAAGAAACAAACTATTCCATATGCAGTACCAAAACAATTATAAAAAAATTGGATGGTTTTCCTGTTGTTAAGCACACAATGGGCTATGTGTACTATGCACAAGACAAGTATCGAAATTTGGTTTTTAGCGATATAAGCCCTTCACACTTAACGCTGAGCTACTGAGGTTATATGGATCTTTTTATTACATGCCGTAAGGGAACATTTTAATGTTTCCAAACTCTTTTCGCTTGTAAGTACTATGTTTACTGAAAAAACTATAAGAATATTTT